AGGCATGCGCCACCATGCCTGGCTAATTTTTTTCTACATATTTTCAGTTGTCCAACTAATTTCTTTGTATTTTTAGTAGAGACGAGGTCTCGCTCTTGCTCAGGCTGGTCTCAGAGCTCAAAGGATCCGCCCGCCTCAGCCTCCCACAGTGCAAGGATTACAGGCGTGAGCCACCATGCCTGGCCAGCCCATTGCTGTTGATAGCATAACAAAGCCCTTATTATGATGTAATCATTACTATTTTAGCACTGCTTGGTTTTTCTACTCTGTACTTCTCTTCAAAGATAGTCCTTCAGAAAAGTGGATAGAGAAAATGGACTGCCTTTTACCCAGTTCTCTTTTTTTGACATATTATTTTTATTTATTTGTTTTAGAGATAGGGTCTCACTCTCTCACCCAGGCTGAAATGTAGTCGTATGATCATAGCTCACTGCAGCCTTGAACTCCTAGGCTCAAGGATTACAGGCATGAGCCACTGCGAGGGGAGGGCCTGCATACATTCTTAAACAATGCTTTCTTCAGAATCATCTTTGATATTTTCCTCAGCAAGCAGTCTCTTCTATTTTTAAGGAAAATTCCACCCATTGGATAACAAGGCTTTCTAGTGGCAAGCCCCTGCTATAAAATGTCTGCGGAGGACCTAAAACCAAGCACGCTGGGGAATCACTGTGATAAAAAAGTGGGTTACACTCTGCCTTTTTAGGAAGATGCCTACAGAAATAGGGGAATGGACATTAGAAAAAGTAGTCCTCTGTCTTCATTTGTGCATTTCTTCCTTTATGCATATACTTACCTTTATAAATAGCTTGGTTAAAAGAAAGCCAATAATAACTGCACCTCATCTGGCAGCATCATAAAGTTTAATTAATGTTTCTAAGGTATGAGTTGAACTCAAGATGAAAGATCCTATATTTGGAATATCTGTTAAATGCCCAATCTAGTTTAGTCTGATAATGGCAATAATTGTATGGTGTCCTACATTACACATCTTGATTATTGTGGCTTGAAAATATATTTTAATGTTGAGAATGTTTTTAACATTGGTTGGCAAACATTTGGGTATATAAAATATATGCTTGTTTTAGCTAGCCCCAGTTGGTTGATTCTTGATGTAAAAGATGTTTTACAAAGCAACATGGGAGTTTTTTTCTTTTTAAATTGGTCCAAGGTATGATGTGTTTCTCACACATCATATAGTGATATCTAAGTTGGTTTGTGCCACAAAATGCAAATGTTAAACAAAAAAATCATTACAATTATATCTCCATATTAAGATCTGCTAAATATGTGAGGATTGACCTGGCACAAAATAAAATGAGGTTGTAAAATGCCAAAAGGGATATTATTATTAATCACTTAAGAAAAAAAAAAGAAAAATTATTTTTTCCCACAAAACTCACTTAAGGATATTTCATGGAAAACTTAAATAGTAGGTTAGACTACTGGGTCATTCAAAGTGAGCTAGAGCTCAGGAGCCAAGGATCTGTGCTTTTAGAACTAAGATATAACTCAGAAGACTTAAGGGCTTAGATAACCATGGGAGACTGGGAGCTATTACTACTAGAATGTAGTTAAATATTAACAGGACTCAGTTATACTTCAGGTTTGTGTAACAGTTTATCTTTGTATGGCTAAAGCAGCTTTCTCTTATCTTTATGTCCCTTTCCTTTCAGTTGTGTTAATATTTGTAATTTTAAACATAGCTAGCCTTCTAAGGAATTTACATGAATTAGAACATCCTTGCTCATTAACTCCTGAAAATTAGCCAGTTAATCCTCCCTTATAAAGACACACCATTATTTTATGCTCATTCAATGAAATATTCAATTCAATAAGTATTTACTCTGCCTTTACACAGTAGTTTGGCATTGTGTGAAATCTGAGACACAATAAAGGAAAGCTCAATGTTCTAGGACATCTTCCCTGGCCTTAAGAGTTTACTGTCTCACTTTGGGTGGCAAGAACTATTTGGTTTACTCAAAACAAATCTGAATGCTTCCTTAGGTCCCTTTTCAGGCCTCTGTCTCCCTTCTCTGAAGCCCTGGGGCCTAAATTCCATTAGAGCCTGGATCTCTGCAGGCCCTTATCATATAGCACAAAGTACTGGCCGATAACATGCAAGGTTGATTTGCATTGTAACCAGGGACTTTTCAAGATAAAAAACTAGGGGGCCTGTTTAAACAAAGTTAGAAAGTTGATTTATTTGTAGGGTTCTAATTCACCTATCACAAGCTATACCAAACAAATTGCTTTTAAGTCCACCCACAATCCTGTCACTCCTTGGCTTATAAAAGCCCAGCTTGCTGGATTGTCTGCCTGCAATTTACCACTGCCTACACGGTAGACTCCAAAATTCTTGGCTTGGTGTGCCAGGCACTTTGGGGCCTCATCTTCCTTACTCCCAACCAGACATCCTAGTTTCTAGCCCCACTGCACTTTCCATGTTTCCAAAAACAGGCCAGGCCCTTGTTTCCATTGCCCAGAATGCCTTTCACCCTCTCTTGTCTTTGGCATCTACACTTTGAGAACCAGCATAAACATCATCTCTGTGAAACTCTTCCTGACTATTCCAGATTTCCCCCAAACTTTTTGTTTTGCCTCTTCCCACAGTACTCTGTACATTTGTTATAGTACTATTATGGAAATTAATTTTGAAACAGTCTTCCCCCACTGGATTCTCAAGGGCAGGGACCTTACATACTGTATTTCAATACATGCTCCTTGAATGTTTCTGCAGTTAGTATGATCAACAGGTTGGCAAATGTAGTTTTATTTGACATTGTGTTCTCTCTCTCTGAGAATGCCCTAGAGTTAAGTAAAAACTCCCAACAGGGAATACAAGGTTTATTGTTCCTAATTTAACCAAATTTAGAGATTTTTTTTCTTAATCAGTAATCAAGTTTAAGACTTGGGTTTATGGAACGCATTAATAGAAAACAGTGACTTTTGCCAATATTGTTCTCCCAACATGTCTCCTTTGAGACAGTGTATAAACTGACATTTGGTAAAAGAAGGAAGTGGGTCTTAGCTTTGTTTGGTCTATAAATTACTGAGTTAATGACTGATGGGGTAGGGGTAGGGGTGGCCCTGGAAATTGTGCTGGGGGAGATTAGTTACCTTCCAGTTTCTTGGCCTTAGAATGCATCCATAACTCTGGCCAGCCATCTTAGAAAATGCTCCTGGTAGGAAGGTAAAAGGATTTGCAGCTACAGTACTGAGAAAAGTATCAAAATTCAGGCTCTATTCACCGTTGGGTCCTTGACCTAAAAGAGAAATAATTTATAGCTGCACCGAATCAAAAACTGCTTTTCTTCCTATCTAAGCTCATTTTCTTCTTCTTTCTTATCTTAACATTGTGACATTCCTCTCCAACAGCGCGAATAATGGCATGCTTATGTTTTCCACTATTTCGGGTTACTTCCCTCGCCTTGCAACCCCTCCTTATTCTTTTATCTCTTTCAAAGTTTCCATTCTCCCGTTCCCTTACTTTTTACTCCCTCCCTCCGTCTCTCCTCCTCTTCCTCCTCCTCTTTTTTCCCAGCTAGCTCTCCCCGCCCCTTGCCGTCACCACCTTCCCTCCCCTTCAGGCTCCTTCCCGCTCCTTCTCCCGCCATTCCCCACCCCTCGCGTTCAGAAAGCTCCAATCAGGAGCTCCGAAGTGGTCTCAAAGGCCCGCCCCCTCCTCCCTTTCCACTTCTCTTCCCCCCCTTTTCTCCCTCCCCTACCCCCCCACTCAAGTCCTGCGGACCTGGGGGCTTCGGGATTTGGGCGCTATGAAAAGTGTCTGCCCAGTCACTTCCGGTAAGGGCGCTGCGGCGCGAAGCTTCCCGCGGGACCGTTAAGGAAGGGGTGGGAGTTACCGGTGGGCCGGGGGAGGAGGGTGCTGCCAGGGAAGGGGAGCAGGAGCAGGAGCGAACTAGCGGGAGTGTCTGGGGCGCTTTGGCCGCCCCTTTCCCGCCGCCCCACCACGCGCCAGCTCCTCCGCCCCCCGGGTGGCTGCGGTGCTTCCCTCCAACCCCCACTCCCGGAGAGAGTCGCCGCCCCTCCCTCGGTGCCGCGTGACCGGAAGTAGCGCCATCTTTAGCCTCTTGTGCTATTGACAATAACAAGCCCTGGTTCTCTCCCCCCCCTCCCCCCAACCACAGCATCTCCCCTCCCAGAGAGAGGGAGAAAAGGAGGAGGAGCCGCAGCCTCTCAGACTCGCTGAGTCGCTCCTGCAGAAAGGGGGAGAGAGAGATCGAAAAGCAGGGGAGGGGGAGGGCACGGCAGTTTACCTGTCTGCCTCCTCATTCGCTCTCCCCCCTCGTTCTGCTCACTCCTGGTGTCAGCCTATCCGCCTTCCCAAACCCTCCCATTCCCCCGGTGTAGCTCCCCCTTTCACTTTCCTTCTCGTCCTCTGTGTTTCTCCTCTCTTCTTTCTTCCCTTCCCCCTCTAGCATTACCACCTTCTCTCCTACACGCACGCAGGCATATAAACGTAGGTTTTTGATGCTCCTCTGCCTGTTGACCCCGCTATTTTCATGTTTCCAACAGGTTTTTCTTCCCCCAGTCCCTCAGCTGCTGCTGCTGCTCAGGAGGTCAGATCTGCCACTGATGGTAATACCAGCACCACTCCGCCCACCTCTGCCAAGAAGAGAAAGTTAAACAGCAGCAGCAGTAGCAGCAGTAACAGTAGTAACGAGAGAGAAGACTTTGATTCCACCTCTTCCTCCTCTTCCACTCCTCCTTTACAATCCAGGGATTCAGCATCCCCTTCAACCTCGTCCTTCTGCCTGGGGGTTTCAGTGGCTGCTTCCAGCCACGTACCGATACAGAAGAAGCTGCGTTTTGAAGACACCCTGGAGTTTATAGGGTTTGATGCGAAGATGGCTGAGGAATCCTCCTCCTCCTCCTCCTCTTCTTCACCAACTGCTGCAACATCTCAGCAGCAGCAACTTAAAAATAAGAGTATATTAATCTCCTCTGTGGCTTCGGTGCATCATGCAAACGGCCTAGCTAAATCATCTACCACCGTCTCTAGCTTTGCTAACAGCAAGCCTGGCTCTGCTAAGAAGTTAGTGATCAAGAACTTTAAAGGTAACTAAGGCCAAAATCCATAATCACTAAGGATTTGACACTTGAGGGGTCACGTGCTCTATTTATGTTAATATATTAAACATTATAGAGGTGGCCTAATGTTTTATGCATAATCAATGAGGAGGAGGGGAGGTCCTTTTTTTGGTGGAGGGTTCATTTTCCGGGGGTGGTTAGTATCCTTGTACTGAAGCATATACCGGGTGTTTCTGTGCAGTATTTTGAGGTCTTTCTCAATCCTGTTGTATTTAATCCTTATAACATTGACAATCGGTATGACTGATCCGGATTTTACAGGTGAGAAATTTGTATTCTAAAGAGGTTTATTTATTTCAGGTGCATAGTGAGTCTTGGCACTGTTGGGATTTTTATTTCTATACTTCAATAGGCCACATTCTCCAGTCCCTAGAAATGCAGGTAGCAATGGTGATCTTTTCATGCCCAAGTAAGATTTATGATTAGATTTATAATATTGAATACTATATTCATGAAACTCATTGTGGAAGCAGTATTTGGAGAAATATATTTATGATCTCTGCATTTCTTTCTAAAGGTAGGGTTTGGAAGTGAAAAATATTGTGTATACACAGAAGTAGTAACTCTGTGTACCACTAGTCTAAAGATAGGAACAATTACTACATCTATTTTTTTTCCATCACTAAAATGGGTTTTAAAGTATTAACCTGAAGCTTTTAGGCATTTTTTTTCATATTGTGTGTGAAATATGTGATGGAAAGTATTATGAATGCATTGATGCAAATATAAAATCAGCAGTTTTTAAAAATATATTTGAGCTGAATTAATTTTTATCTCTTGAAAATGTTCCTGTTTTTCTGACTTTTTCAACACCCTTAACCCACATGTAATCAATGCTAAAATGTTTATTAAATAGAGAAGTAAATGAATGAACTTAAGTAATATTTACCAGATTAAGTGCCTTGTGGCTAAATATTAGTATTGAGAAGATGAGGTTCTCCATGCTTTTATTTCCAATGTTAGTGTGAAAATCAGGAATATGCTCTAGTTTGTCTCAAGCAGAGGGTTATAGTGTTGTCTATTTTTAACCCTTTCTTTTTTAATATCCATCCCCAGGCTCTCAAGAATGTTGTTTACTTTCTAATTTAATAGTAGAGCTTTCTGAAGTGACTGTGAATTGTAATTGACTAATGTGTTCGTTATTTCACTTAAAGATACATTGATTTAATATCCAAGGATTTTTTAAGAAATGAGCTATGATCCTAATGGCATTTGCAAATTGGGTTCAGAGATTTTGTTTTTCTCTCCCTCCTAAAATAAAAACACATTATTAAGGCATTTGGATGTTTTATTTAGAAATTTTCCTTCACTCATTGCTGGCCAATGAAGTTTAAATTAAAGCCTACAGTAAGGTGTTTCTTTCTATTCTGAAAATGCTACATAGGTCTGGAGTCATTTGGATGTTTTATGTTTTTAAAATTTTGCTTTGCTCATAAATGTAGTTTAAAACCCGAGTTAAGATGTTTCTCTCCATTTCTGTAGATGCTACATAAATTTGGAGCTCAGAAAGACTTGAATTAGAATCCCAGCTTTGCCATTGACTAGCTTTGGTGACCTTGGGCAAGCTTACTAAATGAGTTCCAGCCTCAGTTTCCTCAGTTGTAAAATATGGATGATAGTACCTTCCTCGGGGCATTGGTGGGAAGATGAAGAGATTTATAAAATACCTTGCACATAGTAGACACTCAGTATTTTAAATCTCAGGTACAAAATTAATGTTGAGTTAGGGATTACGATGAAATAAGATTAGGATTGTTATTTTTTATCTGTCATTCTTGAATTTTTAATTTTTTGAAGTAATACAATCAATAGAAAAACCTCACCTTCAGTTTTAATTGGTGACTCAAAATGACTTAAACAGTATTCTGGCATTTCAAATTTTATTCTTTATGTTAAACTTAAATACAGTGGTTACTTTAGTATTTAGGTATAATAGTTATAAAGATCACAGTTTACCCTAGAAAAAATGGTAATGCTATTGTATTTTATGAATCTTTGGTGAGTATATCCTACGTATTATTCTGATACCAATCTCTTTTATGTGTCATCTAGATAAGCCTAAATTACCGGAAAACTACACAGATGAAACATGGCAGAAACTGAAAGAAGCAGTGGAAGCTATTCAGAATAGTACTTCGATTAAATACAATTTAGAAGAACTCTACCAGGTATGTATTAATGTGGATAACCAGATTCAATTAACATAAATTGAGATGGGATGTATATGGATTTTACTCTCTAAAATGATCCTTTAGTAGACTTTTGGTTCCTTTTTTTTTTTTTTTTTTT